GATCTCTTCACATCAGATGCCCACCCGCTATGCAGACGCTGTGGATAGCAAACAACTGAGCAATGGTTGAGAGGAACACAAGTGAGAAAAAATTTTAGTGACAAAAATTCTTGGTTAAAAAAAAMAGAACATCTCCTATTTGGAAATATTATTTTTATAATTTATGTAAAAATACTGATAGTAAGGTGTGTGTTTTCAGTATGTCGAGCATCAGAAAATGTTTTTAGGGGACAATGGGCCTCATGCAAGAACATGTTTGTATTCTTATTCTAAATTTCTCTTACTTTTGTTCGTACAAAGGGTTCGTACGAACATACCACGTCAGATTCAACTAAGTCTTCTATCTTCAGGAAAAGTGTGTAAATGAGCAGCGTAAATTCCACCTGTTTGTATCCAGCTCCTCGTGCATATGAGAGGAGATTAGCATAATTACCACCCCAAAAACACCATATAAGGCTATGTTTCCTACCTCAGATACAAGGAAACAAGGAAGTGTCCATTCATGAAAATGACAGCGAAAACTAAAAAGAAGAACTTTACGAGCTCATAGATTGAAGTCCTGCTCTCAGAGATCCAGAAAAGAAAATCTGTCATTTTTAGCAGGTCAGCTGTGGAATAAAATGAGCTGCTAAAAATATAAACAACTGTGTTAAATCATTTTCATTTATTCAGAAACCACAACGTTGCGCACCGTACGCCCCCCCCGCGCTGGTCTCAAGTGGTCTCAGTTGCGGCTCTGAAATAAGCATTTAAAAATGTTTTTCAACATGTGTCTGGCACTTTGGAGAAAATCCAGGACTCGCTGGAGGGATTATGTATCCCCTCTGGCCTGGGAACATCTCAGAGACCCCCAGGGTGAGCTGGAAAATGTCGCTGGGGAGAGCGGGGTCTCTCTGCTGCTGCCCCGCGACTCGATCCTTGATAAGCCAGCCGGACGGACAATTTGTATTGTTAGTCTAAATTATTACATTTAAAATTATAACTCTAATTCAAGCAGAATAGCCTATTGTCAACATAATATGGAGTGTGATTTATTTTCAACTCAAAATATCTTCAAAGTAATGAAATATAAAGTTATTAGAGAGGAAAATCCGTCTTGTTAACAGCAGACTGACTGCTCGTAAAATATACGACAGGTCTGGACCACTCGTGAATTTTATTCTTATCTGAAAAAAATAGAATACGAAAACATTGGTGAATGCCACAAATTCTCCTAAATCAGTCGTACGCACAACTTAAGAACAAATCTGTGCGTACGAATGGTTCTTGCATGAGGCCCAATGTTCTGAAGTCTTTAAGAAACTGTATTACATACAGTTTGTTGTCTCTACTATTACAGCATCTAAGTTGCATCTAAATGACCCTTTTCAGGCGATAATGTAATTGTCGTTGTATGTGCGTGTGTTTTGTCTGTGAGCAAAATAACCCATGAAGCGCTAAACAGACTCTAATGAAACTCAATATTCTCGAACAGCCAAACACAGTTGATGCATGCTGGTGATGTAATGCTTGGCTATGATGGAGTAAAGCTCATGTAGCTACAATTGATTGAAAACAGCACCAGATCACAGAATTTATCACAATTTTTTTTTTGCTTGGTGAGTGGCTGATCAGTCACTGTGACCATTGTAACCTGTGTGCATCACTGAAATACCCCAAGGAGCATCAAAACTGAACAATGCAGAAATGTTAGAAGGCGGTCCATTGAATGATAATTTTTTTTTGCATTGAGGTAATTGCCAGGTTTATGTACTTCATTTTACCTGGAAAAATGTGGTGCCAACATGCATTGTTGGTAGAAGGCAAGCCGGCTGGATCAGTGAAAATCTTTGGACAATGTTTTGCAGGGAAACTTTGATTCTGTCATTTCTGTGGAGGTCACTTTGACATACAGTATACTGTATCACAGACCCAAACCTTGCTTTGATTCAATCGAGAAATACAGTAGTCTCACCTGATGTTTTTGATTCTTGTCAATGAAATGGTGGTGCACCATGTTGGGAATTTTGTTTGTGGTATGTGAAACTGGTTGCGAATGGTGCTTGATCTCGACATTCTTACCATCTGAAACCAGTTGTGTGTTTGCTTGATGTGTTGATCTGACCACTTGAAGACCAATCTCACTACAATACGCAGACAATTCACACAATAACTGCCAGGACTTAAAAACCTTCTAGGTGATTTGATGCCAGCAAATTGGGTTTGATGGAAGAAGGTGACCTGGTGATGTTATGGCAGATCGGAGTATAAATTAAAAGGAAAGACACATTGTTCTAACCTTTATGTGGTTATTTTTATTTTGGAGAGGCTGCTTGTTTTCAATGAGAGTGATGGCAGTTTGATTCCATCGCTGTTTAGTCACATGTCGAAGTGTCCTGGGCAAAACACTGTACCCCTGCTTCCTTGTACATAAGTGTATGAATGTGATTTAAGCACTGATTAGTCTCTAAAAAATGATCTATCTAGGTAAGCTTTGTAGAGAGACATATGTAGTAGAGTGCTATGAGAATGGGTTGTAGCGGGTCCTGCACTACGCTTTTACCAAGTTGGGGACCAGGTCAAATTATTGACCAATATTTATTCACCATTTTTAATAAAACTCATTTACCGAAGTGTGTGATCATATGATATGCAGGGAATTCTTGTCTCAGGCCAAAATACTCAACAATGAGGAACCAGGTTTGTCTTTTATGGTAATTTACAAAAATATAGCAAGAATCCATTTCACTGAAGCATAACTAAAAACAGCAAAAAACAACAATATGAAAGACAAAGAATAAGGTTTCTAAAACAGTTAAAGGTGAAAGTTATTGCAGACTTGATTTTGTATGTCTAAATTAAGGTTTGGATGTTAATAGAATAAAATATTTTTCCCAAAATAAATATTTTTCTTCTATTAATTAAATGACAAGAGATTAAAACCTATAAGTTTTTGTCAGTTTGGAGAGAAGGTGTTAAGGCTTTAGTACGATTATTTATGAGTAATTTTAATCTTACTGCAGAAGAAGAATTATATCGAAGTTACCTCAACTGTTTAACCAGGACTGTTCAGCTAACACTTCACGTGTAATGCCTTAAATACAGTTCATCAAGTCACCAAAGTTGGAGACTTCCAGCTGTCTCTATGGAGTTGAGGAGGCTCAGCGTGCTGGACTCTGAGGTCTAGCCTGATTCAGATCTGCCCTGGAGGTCATTATGGATAGGTTCGTGCAGACTCCCTGTGACGGCTTGGCTTTCCATCTCAAAACAGCTTTATCAGCAGGGTCGGCAAAGCTTCTTGCTGCAGTAAAATTACAGTTTTCCATCAGAAGGTTGTCTGGTCTTCTCAGGTCCTGGAGCTTCTAGCTCCAGCAAAATCCAACTCAGAACTAAATCAAAACTGGCTTCTACCAGTTTGCACTCAGCGTTCAGTTGTGTGTGACTTCTAGACACAACATTGATAACAGGTCTCTATCTGAAAACATGTGAAAATTATTGACAGTTCAGAAATGATCAATAGATCACAGTATTAATCAATCAAATCAATCAATCAACTTCATTTGTACCCACAGGTAAATTTGATTACAGTGAAAATGAGTCAGCTTCAGCTTTAAAATACACACTTAAAAATAGAAATACCTTTAAAAGGAAAGTCATGTTAATATTTTTTATAATAATGAATCCCAAGCGATTAAAACAGATTGTTGTGTCAGCATTATCTGCATGACAAGGACATATTATTAAAAGTAGGGATGTCCCGATCAGATACTCAGTATCGATGGCAGAAATGGCCATTTTTTGAAAATTGGRTAAAATCGTAGTCGTGATTGAGCCGATCCAGTTTTCGCGACAGTTATCAGCGTCATCATGCTTTGCAACTGCCGTTAAGAAGTCAAGACACACACAAGTATACAACCATGTCCACAGTGTGGGAACACTTTTCAATGGAAARCAATGATGCTGAAACTGCATCTTGCAAAATCTGCAAACTGGATGTTTCTTGTGGTGGGAACAGCAGGGCTTGCTTTAATACTACCAACCTTGTCACTTGGAAAGAAATAAAGAAATAAAGCTATCAGATCGGTATCGGAAAGGTTAATCATTAAAAAAATCGGATTGTATCGGGAGCCAAAAAATCTGGATCTTTAGAAAAAGCTTTTTCAGATCAGAGTTCAGTTATGAGACATGACCAGTGGTGGTCAAAAGGTCATGTCAGGTCGCGGTCGTTCATGCTCCAGGGTAAATGAGAACACAGATTGTAGTGTGAAAGCACTTTGAGTATCCTGGTTGGACAGAAAGGCGCTATATAAGTACATGTTTACTTCATAGGAAGGGTAAAATGATACAAAATGGTTGAACACATCCCTTTTAACGTTACATAGGGTGTTTTAAGGTTTTCAAGGCCAATGGTTGATGTTTTGGATCTATTGAGTAACACCAAGGCTTAACTCATGGTTACATGTGTAGATCAGTGTTTTTAACAGAAATCATCCATCATAATTCTTGACAAGGTCATTATTGTTCCTCATATGTTTGTGTTTGAGTCCATCTTCTGTTACGGAAACAAAAAACTGATACCCAATAGAAAGGCAGTACCACTCATGCTGGAATGTTTAGTCTTCATGGACATGTAGATGTGGAAAACAAGTACGTAGATTTGGAAAGGCCTGTGTTCCTTTCACTCTTCAGTTCGTTCTTTCATCCTTCATACCTTCATTTCATTTTGTTTATGTTCACATTGTTTCTGTTTTTGTCTTTAATTACCAGACAGATTAAAACACTTAAAGACTGGGAGAGACAGAAAAGGCTGAATGTTTCCAGACCAGATTTTTATCTTCTTTCTCCAACAAATTCAAAAGTTTTTCATAAAGGAATGAATTTAGTAATGAAAACCAACAATCGTTCAGAAATGATTTGCAAGAGTAAATCGAGAACAACAGCCCCACCCTCAATCCTACCCCCCCACCCCACCCCAAAAGCCACAACTGTCTCTCTCACTCTGTATCTCTATCTGTTCACAGGGGACATCACTCAGAAGGGTTATGAGAAGAAGAGGTCCAAGCTAATCAGGGCATTTGCTGGAGGTAATTTAGCAACCTCTGACCCCTCCTCTTCTCCACGCACTTCCACTCAGCTAAAATATTCCCATATTAGTATATCGATCCAGTATCATGACAAATCCAGTTGTGTTGACACTGTAGGCTATTGATTTAGTCTTCCGTTGCTACCATTAGTGGATGTAGGCTAGTGTTCCCTAGAGCTGWGCTTGGGCCTGCTCCTCTGAATCTGTATCTGATCAACATGTAATCACTCACTGCAACTAAAACATGCACACATCCATCACACACCCTGGTTTCTCTTGTCATAGAGCACAGGCTTCAGCAGTAGTGGGTTACAGGATACTGAGGGATGTTCTGTCAGAGATACAATTGCCACACATTTCTGGTTTGTTTCTTTTGATTATTTTAAGTTATAAAGTCAGAAAAATCTCATTTTTCTGCTGAATCAAATCACCTCCATTTTTGTTTTTCCTTTTGGCACTTTTATTTATCGCTTTTGTCGAGCGTTGCTTTGCACGTCTGCGTGTTTGTGTATATACATGTGCGTTTGTCCGCCTGCTTATCTGCCTGCCTCTGTAGGTATGGAGGGGCCCATGTCTCATCGGGCCCCACTCGGCCCTCCTTCTGCTGCACGCTTCCACCGGCGAAGAACCTCTGGCACGAGAGATGAACGCTACCGATCAGGTACAGATGCCACACCTTATAGATACTTCACTGGCAGAATACTAATAATTAACATACAAATGATATGAAACTACCTGCACCGAGGCTTTTAGTGTTTARTTTATAATGAGATTAGTTGCGCTCTACTGATTAATAAATGAACTCCAGATATTGWAAAAATTCACTCCTTGCAGCAACAATATTTTCGTTGAGCTTTCAAAATTAGCATTTTGCCACATCACTTCTGGTATACTTTGATCCAATGAGCTATCTAACATTTAATAATAGAAGACACACATGATGTGGTTGGAAATTTTCCATCCTCAGTCTGGTCACGCCCATGTACCACCATTTTACCCCTTTCTGTGTTCAGTAGAGTGGCACAAAGACAGCTGCCTCAAAGAGAAAGAGACAAAGAAGACAAAAGTTCTGGTGAAACTCAGTACAAACAGATTTAGCAAAAATCCGAGCTTATATTATGAGCTGCGGGGACGTTGGGTAGTGGGTGGACATGATTGTTGATGTAGGTTATGACTAACAATGGGCTAAATAGGCCATTTAATTAGCATTTTTAGCRTATAGCAGTGTCTGCATAGCTGCAGTGTTTTTCAAACATTTGATAAACAAATCTAATAAAGTTGCCCTTTTGGTTGAGCATTGGGAATAAATGATTTGTCAATCATAAGGTAATATTAATGTGTTTGTTTCAATGAAAGCTGAAATACTGAATTTCAACTTTGATCAAAACAGGAAAACTCTTAATTCTGCCACACCTGAGAAACTAAGCTAAAAGCAGGCACATTTGAGGGCAGCACAATCTTGATACACTTTAATTACATCCTTTTGTTCACCAGCGTTCTACTATGAGGGGGCWTTTCATGAAAGTGGTGCTTTTTTTCAGCCCAAAAACTAAAAAAAGTTGATCCAATTATTATACTAACCTTAAAACAATGACATAGTTACTGAAAAAAAAAAACAGTAAGACCTGTTTTATTAGTAGGTAAATGTTTGCTTAAAGCTACATTCATAGCAAGCTTCTGGTGAACTGTGGAACAGATAAGAATGGGTTCTGATCTCCGTAGAGTCCTAGGTAAAAATTACATGAAATAATTACTTTAACTTCTTTTCTTTTCTGATAAATTGCAATGCATACATGAACGAACTGTTAGATTTATCATACACAAATAATCACAACAAAACAAAAAAAACAAGTACATTTCATTGCAGACAGGAAACATTCRTTCTGTTTTCATCTGAATGTGACTGTCTGTCTCTGCCTGTCAGATGTCCACACGGAGGCGGTGCAGGCTGTCCTGGCACGACATGTAGAGAGGAAGATGGCAGTGCCCATGCCTTCCAAAAGACGTTCACTGGTGGTTCAGACCTCCATGGATGCTTACACACCTCCAGGTGACAATGCACAAACAAAACTCCTCACCTGTTCTCACTCTGCACCTCATCTTGATCTATAATCAGTACCRGATTAAATTTACAGAGGTTTACCTTTCCATGAGCTAGTTCATTTAAATACTAAAATTAGCATMGTTAGAAAAAGCTTATACTAAGTGAGTTACTAAGTTAAAAATCTACCCCAGAAAAGCAGTCCWCTGCTCAGACAAGATTACACTTTAATATCAGCTTTCTCAGACAATCCTGAGAATGGGATGCTCATCCCAACAAAAACTGCAAGCATGCACATTCTCTGTGGTTTGCAAACCCACTGACAGCTTCACAAAGAACCTCCCCAAAACTCAAGCACCACAGAAAGCTGTAAAAGTTGCACCCAGTCATGTTCTGCAGCAGCGGTCTGCCTCTGAAAGCAGAAACAATACATATTATTTGTATATTTTCAGTGATTTTTCTATCCACAGAATCCTGTCTGAGGGACAGTGGAGTTGACCTTTCCCTCAAATCTCAAGCTTATTARTTTGTCCATAATCAAAGCTGATGGAATAATTTTAGTGTTGATTAAATTTTAATTGGGAAAATATAATAACTTTGTTCCTCTGCTAATTGGCTTTTGACCTTTGAGAATATTCCTAAATGAACTTGACATCTCCTGAAGTACTTGTGTAACTTGTGTGGCCGAGTATTAAACATTATTGAACGTTCTGACAACTTTGTTATCTCGTTTAAATTTAAGTGTTCTGCTGATTATTACCAGGCCTCCTTGTATCCGTTTGCTTGTGTTCACATGATTAGCTGTCGTTTAAAGACATAAATTCTGCCTCCCGCAGCCTGAAGCTTGTTGTCAGCAAATTGCTTCTTGTGGCCCCTGCACAGAASAGCCACAAGAACCAATTTACTAATTATTGACGTTTTGTGTCTAAAAGCTCTTGAGCTTGTTGCCTTGGTCGCTCAAAGGTCACAGAGCTGCAGTGATTAAAAGGATCACACTTAAAAAAAAGTTTTTATTACATTACAGTTACAATAAAAAATTCAACAATAAATTCATTTATTATTATGAAGCTCAGATGTAGAAAAATATTCTTGCTGATGTCTTTTTGAATTGTATTTGTATCAAACCTTTACAAACCAAATGATAATAAAGACATTAAGGTTTTGAAATGGGATTCAGGGTTGTTTGTTTTCATGCTCAATAACATTAATGAAGTTCAGTGAAGATGGTGAACCTTTCAGTCCCCGCAGTCCAACTTTATTTATTCGTTGTTCACTTAACAGATACAGTACATCCTGTTTCAAAACACRGCTACCCGACTCCTCTGTTTCTTATTCAGAAACTAAACATTTACACAAAAACTCAAAGAAGTCCTCTACAAAAAAGGAAAATCCAGTGACTGTACACACAAAAAACCACCCACATGTTAATCAATATCTTCAATGTACTCCCACCTAAGCGTTTCATTTACTATGAAAGACATAAAGCTTACATAGCCCACCTGAGCTATATTTTCTAACCCTGCTCCAGCTTTTTAAATAGATTTCTTTTAAAGGGTTTTTTTTTTATGTTCTCTTAAATTCCAACACAACCAGTGTGAGAACAAAGATTTCCATGGTCATGGTTTTACTTTCAACTGAATGGTAAAGATGTAAGATGTAACATACTAAATTACCTAACTTCTCCAAATTCCTCTTCAGCATCTTGATTAGTTGACTTTGCTGTATAGTTTGGATTTTTTTGAATCGGGTATCTTTAGTCAAAAACTGGAAACATACTTCAATCCTGTAATGCTGAAGGCTTCAGGTTTTGTTAGTTGATTCATACAAAAGTTAAAATGGAAAAATGTGAAGACTCAGGTCAAGAACACTTTTTCCCAGTGTTACACCTACATCTAGTACCTCTGGGACCTTAACTTGATGTCCTAGGAGGGAGTGGTTAAAGTATTCTGCAACAAATGAGTCAGTTCCTTCAAGAAGCCTAAATGCTATCAAACGTTGCTGATTCTTTTTAGGTAAACAGCAACATCAGTAGCCTCAAATAAAATGTAAATYGTATAGCTCTTACATTGAATTAAGGACCAAGGTGTCGCCCAAAATGCAGGAGTACACATAACACTGGAAGTTAGTATTACTTCAGGTTTCATGAGTATTGATTGACTGATTTGAGTTTTATCAATAAAGCAAATACTTCTCCTTAACTGTTCCTTTAAGGTTTTCTAAAGGTAGATGATTCASTTGTAGTTTGTGTTTATTTTCATACTGTGTGTGATGTATCTTCCGAACAAATAACAGCAGCTACTGACTCTCACTAGGCCTGTCCCCGCTGTGCTCAGACTCGTCGTCGGGCTCCGAGGAGGAGGCGGGGCCGGGCGAYGACATGTCGGGCATGGAGCACTGGATGAGCCGGCCCTCGCAGCTGGGCCCCGCCCACCTCGGCTCCACCTCCTCCTCCTCCTCSTCCACACAAAGCGGAGGCAGCGGAAATGCCGGGCGGCTGGCTGACTCGCTGGCGCACTCGCACATCTCGCACTTGGCTCACGCACACCTGGGGCACCCCCACYTGGGCCAGTCGCACCACCTGTCGCAGTCGCATCACGGTGAGGCGTGACTTCTTTCCTAGCTTTCATCATGTTGAACAGGCATCATGTTGGGAAGAAGTGAGATGATTCAAAACATCTGCACAGTGTGCYAAACGTCATAAATCAGCTAATAAAAATGCACAAACATTTTTTATACTTATTAAATATCATAATTTATACGGAGAGATTTTAATCATTAAAAAAAGATTTTTTTATTACTGCATCTCAAAGCATGTTTCTCTTTAAAGGGATCCATGATTAGTTGTAACATTAGACTTTATTTGACGAACATACAGTATATTTTAACTGTAAAATAAAGACTGTAAAAATACTGTAGCCTGTTTAGTTTTTATAATTTTTAAAAATATATTTTAAC